TGATTGGGAAATGGAATATCATATGGCGTTTCAATTTGTTCTCATCCCACATTTAAGCTACCTCCCCTTATTTCCCGTAGTAAAGCCTTCATTTGGGCCATCTCTTCTCTCAATGACTCAAAATCTTGCCGATAAATTTCTTCCTGTCGTGCTCTCTCCTTGTTCTCCATTCGGCGAGTCCTTAATCTAGTGTCGTGGATGCGTGGGGGAATTGAGCTTTGGTGGAGCGACCTATGTTTCAAAATCCTAGAAAAAAAAACTCAAAGAACATATGTACAATGAATATACAAGTATATACATGCATGATTTGAACTCGGGTTAGATACCTTTCTTTACTTAACATCCTATAAGAGTCAAGGGTTAGAACAAATATCATTTGGAAATGATTCGTGTCTTAATCGAGTCAACCCTAATGGATAAGATCTAGCTTTTCTATGGATATAGGCAAGGCTTGTCTAATACTAAAGTCTTTTCAAGTTTCGAACCGTCTAAATTACCACTAAGGTAATTCGATCTCTTTAACCTTATGCACGAGGAGGTAGAGGAAGGTTATTCCACCATTTTCTATGCATAGGGTGAGTTCCAATCCAAACGAGAGTCCAAAAGAGTATCGGTAGACTTTCGTCATACTTGCCTTCGAATCTCTCTATCTAAATGCTAGCGAGGTTTCAGCTCGGGTTCGCAGCTTTTGCGAGTTTTTTTTTCGTGGTGTGTGCAATAATTCAAGATAAGCATCTAATTCGGTTCAAGATTAAATATGTACATGAATGCAAGAAAAAGAAATTGCATAAAATTAGAAGATTTAAAATATATACAAGAAAAAAATGAAAAAATAACTCAAAAAAATGAAAAAAATAAAAAAATAAAAAAATAAATTACCTAAAATATAATTGGCAAAAAAATAAACACAGGAAATAAATTTAAATGGACTAAACCTATGGCCTAACTCAAAGTCCCCAGTGGAGTCGCCATTCCGTCGTTATCCGACGTTGGACGGACTCCTAAAATTAAAATGCTAAATGTGATTGATATTTACAAGTTTATTTACGTAGCTTTTGAGTCGCCACCTAGTATTAAGGAACTAGGAACCTAAAAATGACACTCGGTCGAGAGATTCTATGGTAAGCGAGTTGGTTACACTTTTAGGAAGACAATTATTCACCCTAAAAGTGCCCTTTCCGAAGAAAGGTACCACATCTTATTTTAGTCCTAAATTTATCTCCTACATTGTTCATAAATGCCAATTTTTTTAAATTTTTTAAACAATTGTTTTAGAAAAACTTGATTTTTTTGGTTTGAGCGTGGCATCGTATTGAAACGATCGTCGGTCCCCTTCGTCCGGTGACACGTCGGTTCAAAGATCGGATACACTTAAAGCCTTGATACAACCGGTGCATCGAAGGACACTCGATTAAATTAAATGATATTTGGTGACGAAGGTCTCTATCGGATAGGAGACCTCGCCACGAAACAATAGTCCCTACCAAGAGGAGACTTCGATGAGAAAATTTATTATTATTTTTTTATATTTTTTCTTTAATAACACGCATGCATAAAAGTCAAAACTAAAATAAATAAATAAATATTAAATTAAATACAAACAGACAAAATAAGCAAAAAAAATAAAAATAAATAAACCCTCCGAACATCTAAATTAAATACAAGATACATAAAATTTAAATTTTTAAATCAAATATTTTTTTTTTATTGTATTCTATTCACGGTTAGAGACTGAATTAAATCCATCTCTTTATTTATTTATTTATTTATTTTTATGAAAAATGGAGGAATGCAAAGGCTGGATTGAACCAATCTTTGCCTTTTTTTTTTATTCCTTAACTGACGGCCCAGCCTCCTTTCAAACCCAAACCCCCATTTCTTTCTTTTCTGATTTTGCCACGGGCCGGACCCAACACCACTCAACAGACTTCTTTGTCAAAACATTTCTTTTTTGACAAATTTCAAAACTCTCTCTCTCCTGTTCCTGGTCTCTCACGCAATCTTCTTTTTTCCTTGTTTTTTTCTTCTTTCACCCATTTCTTTCTTTCCTTATTTTGCCACGGGCCGGACCCATGCCCCATAAACGCCACTCAACAGAAGCTTGCTTTATATTTTTTATCAAAACATTTGCTTTTGATAAATACCAAAACTTTCTCTCTCCTGTTCCTGTTCTCCCACGCCATCTCTTTTTTCTTTGTTTTTTTTTTTTCGTCTCCCTCACCAACCAAATGCCATATGCCAATCAGAATCCCTCCATTCCTTTTTTTTTTTTTTTTTTTTGGCTAAGGCAGTTTCAGTTCAGCCGACTCTCTCTCTCTAGGTCGTCCCTGTTTTTCTTTTTTGTTTTTTTTTAATATAAAATCTCACGAAATTTTCCCCACCAAAAATCAAACAACTCTAGTGTAGGTATTAACCCTTAAACCCATAGCTATGATCTCATGACAAATGGATTGGGAGATTTATCTCCGGTTAGCCTTTACCACTGTCTCCCTTTTCATTATTTTTTTAGGCAACACAGAATAATTGAAGCTAGAATAAAAAGAAATTGAATGAGATACGTTACTCGAATGAAGTTTGTCGAATTGTAAGAATGGAATGAAACTTATGTAGTGGTATCGAGCCTTCGTTGCGGATGGTTGGTTGCGAGATTTGTGAAATTATGCGTGTGTTTCGTTCAATTTTGGAAAGAGTGGATGCATGCTAAATTGCCTCGTTTTCTTGAGGACTCGACGAACTAAATAGAAAAATGCAAGAACTCTCTTATAGAAAACCCGAAATTATAAACATCCCAAAATCGGATGCGTAACGATGAAGAATAGAAAGAAATGGTGTCCTGAAGATTCAAACGAGAACTGGAAATCACGAGCACGAAACTAAACCTAGAAAACTAAATCTTTAACCCACAAATTTTCGATGAATGCTACTCGCCTAAAACTCCCAAAAATTCCTCCTCGCTCTTTTTTTTTTTTTTTTTTTTTTTTTTCGGGATATTGAGGATTTGAGTTTCACCTTCAATCAAACACTTTCAAATTCGAGTTTCATCCTAAATCAAATACATTAAAATTCAAATTTTTTAGCTATTCAATTTGAACTCAAACTCGTTATTGAAAGGTGATCCAACCAAGCTAAACTGAATTTAAAAATTAGGATAGACTTCAATCTGTTTTTTTTTTTTTTTTTTGGTTTTGTATTTTTGTATTTTTTTATTTTTTAAATAAATAAAAAAATGGAAGTGCTTTTTTTTTTTTTTGATTATTACAATTAGTATGAATTTTTATCATGATTGAGAATTAAGACAATTCAATATTGATTGATTTTTATCTCGTTTAGAAAAAAAAAACAAAGGCAAGAGAAAGAACCAAAAAGGCATTTCAAGTGACTATTACTATAAAGTTTCACACTAATATCATAGTTTAAATCCAACTGTATACTTATTTTATGAACAAAAAAAGAGCTAGAAAGATCAAGTAAAATAAACATCCGCTTAAATATTTGCATAACTATGTCATGTTTTTTTTAGCGGAAATCATGCTTCGCTATTGCTAATGAAATATAAACTCCATGAGGCCATTTGTAACTATGAGAAATAATAAACTTAGCTAGGGCATTTTATCGAACATCTTTATGACATTGAATGTACATACTGAAAAGGATATTTGATTATTAATCATTCATTAGCAACACTAAAACAAGAATAAAAGATGTCATTTGGTAATATAGATTTTTTTTTTTGTTAAAAGAGAATATCAAATGATTTTTCTTAATACATGAACATGGAGAAATTTTATAATATACAAGGAGTAACTAGTGGTATGTACAGTAGTTACTCTTTAAGTCCACTTTGAGGAGAGAGATAGACACACAAAAAGAGAGAGAGAAAAATAGGAAAGAGAAAATAAAAAAATTTGAACGGACGTAGAAATCTTCTTATCACTTTTGATGGATATGTTCTACCAAAGAAAATCTTGTTATAAGTTTGTATTTTAGTTGAAGGATTAGGATGCAAAACAAATAACTTAAAGATTTTAGATTTAAACAAATACCTTAAGTTTGCATGATATATATAATTTTTTATTTTCATATCAGACGATCTGTTTGTCAATTAGTGCTTAGGTGGAAAAAAATTATACTGATAAAAAAGTTTAAAAGTTACTTGTTTGAGGAAATAAGTTTTTCAAGTATCTTAGTTAGGAAACAAACTCCAAGAAAAAATTAATTCTAAAGATGAGACTACCGATGAAAGAGTGTTTTGTGCTCGTCGTCTTGCTGAAGATGGGAAGAACCCATCACTGAATGCGGGTCCTAATGGGAGACCTTTGTTTACTGATACTAGTTCTCTCTCTCAGCTTATAATCAGCGACACTAGCTCTTACTTCAAATTCAGGTCTTTTTTTTTTTTTTTTTTCAGTTGTTAATGTGATTAGTTATGTAAAGATTTTGACTTTTTTGTGTGTATATATATATGTGGGTTTCTTTTAGAGTGCTTGAATTTTGAATAAATGTATATAAGATTGTGTCTTTATGTAGCAGAATTGACTTTCTTTTTATGTAACTTCAAATGGGTTTTGGAATTGAAAACGATGTTGCCAGAGGGATTGCCAACGGGGGTGGTGGAGGAGAAGGTGGAGAAAAAAGTGTTTGATGTGAAATTAGAAGGGTTTGGTGCGGCAGCGAAGATTAAAGTTATTACAAAAGTTGGAGGCTTCACTTATTTGGGATTGAAGGAAGCTAAAAATATAGTGGAAAAGGCATCTCCCATTTTTTTATTGGATCACATGATGTGTGGATAATCTAATTTAAAATTGATCAATGAAAAATCAAGACTTTATTGCGGACAGAAGAAAAAAAAAAAGATTCACCAGAAAAATTAAAAACAGAGAATCTTTTTCTTTTGACTAAAAGTTCAAAATACTAAACCAATTAACCTTAAATTAACATAAAAGCTGATAACATCTCCTTAATTCTTCAAATTCTTAGTTGTAATTAAATGAAAAAAGGGATCACTGCTTTTCTGTTCTTGGGACAATCCTCTCCAAACTTCTCCAGATACCCACTTGTGATTGGCACAAGCCCTAGGAATCAAGTTAGAGCATGTAAAGCAAAAAAAAGCAAACCCAGCCCACGACCAAGTCATCACTGCCCACCCAAGCGACTCCACTATCTCTCCAAAGTAATTAGCACAACTTACCAACTCAAACCAACCTCCTCTTGGCACCTTATATCCACCACTTTCCCTCTTCAAACCCAACAAAACCTTGTCAGCCCACAAATTAATCCTCATGCCCCACAGAAAAAGCACCAGCCCACCAAAAAACTTCCACCAAAACAAACCTCCCTTGCCATCATAATCACTTTTATAATGAGAAACCCACCTAGCCTGCAAGTAAGTGTTCAATAGTTGAAGCACAAATCCAGGAAACCAATAGTGGTTTTGCTTTTCTGTTGAGTGGTACTCTGGTGAAGGCGGAAAGGGTAGATCAAAGTGCGGTGGAAGTAGCGGAGGAGGAAAGGAGACATGAGAACTAAAGCTTTGGGATTTGTGAAGTGTTGGCCAAAGGGAAAGAGGAGGAAAGGGAGCAAAATGCTGGGGATTTCCATGAGAAACCAAGCCAAAGGTGGAGAGATTGTAGGGCCCCATCCTAGACGGTTGTGCTTTCTATATGGTGATTGAAAGAACATTAGGGCGATGATGGTGGGGGGTCCTAGGAGTTAGAAAGTAAGGAGACTGTAGTGAAAAAGGCTCTGATCTAACAAGGCCATTTTTGTTTGCTTAGTTGGTTGTTGATGATAGCAAGATTGGGAGCGATGATACACTACAAAATGAAAAGGAAAAAGAAGGCTTTTTATAGAAGAAAAATGATATAGAAGATAGCATGCATGACTTCGTAACTCTCCAGACAAACTTTGGGATGCTCGCTGTGAGGATAAGTCGCATGCAGACTGATATCGTGACAAAAGGATATTGTCAAGTTCTTTGATTCTGTGCGTCACCATCACATATCCAAATTCAATAATGTTTCATGATACTCCCTTGCCGCGAAAAGATGGAACGCCTTTTTATTTATACGTATTTCAAAAATTTCATTAAATAATGTAATTTTGCAATATATATATATATATATCTATATATATATATATAATGGGTTTTGCAAATACAAACACTTTGTGTATTTTGAATTTTTCTAATTAAGATCGTAAGTATTTTTTTATCTAATTTAAGATTTCTACTCTTATTTATTATTATTATTATTATTTGTTTCAGAGTTTAATGTGTCATGTAAATATATCTAGTAATCTCTAGTCAATGACAATTTGTTATGTATCATTATGGACTTAAATTAAGTAATTGAATTGATGACATAACAAGTCGTTATTGGTTAGAGTTTGCTATGTGTGCTTATGTGACAAGTTATCTTTAATTATGGTCTCGAAAAATAATAATATAAGAGTATAACTCTTAAATTGAATAGAAAATTTTCTTAAGGTTTCAATTAAAAAAAATGAATTATACCGGTCTTAATATACATAAAACCCTATATATAATAATTAATGATTTTTTTAATTTGTGTGAAAGATCAGTCAAACAATCTCTTTTAGAAAAAAAAAATACTAATTAATTAGCAATTATAACAACAGTTCATGTACTACAGCATAAATAAAAGAAAGGGCCTTTCTAATTCTCAATTCATTTGAATTAGTCACTAACTTTTGACAAATTTCGGCCAATTTTACTTGGTTGATTATAGAAAAAAGAAAAGAGAAACAAAATTACAAAATTTGGCAATCGATTAAGATCATGCACAAATATTTACCATAATTCGATAATAAAAAATCATTTAACCATAACTTTTCTAAGACCCTTAACAATTTTTTTTCTCATCAAGATGTTTTTTGGTCAATTCTTGAACAATGATCCATTTTTGTTCATGTTCTTAACAAACCATTCATTTTCGAACAAATGTGAAACGAATTTTCTCTCAAAATATTAATTTTAGTGATAACTTTTGTGTAACAATAATTGCCTTTTATTTTATTTGAGTAATCATTCAATTTAAGATTTAGCTCACTTCCTCATCACCATTCTAGATTGTCATAAATTGAAAGTTTTTTGTTAGAGTTGTTTGAAGCAATATGTAGAGTTTAAACTTTATGTAGTCAATCATTATGTAATAATCAGAACCAAAATAGTTCAAACGAATGGATTTCGTTGTAAGAAAATCTAAGATAAATTGAGAGATTATGGAGCAAGAATTTGTAAAAACTGAGAGAAGAAGAGGTGCTAATAAAAACAATAAATAAAGCAATAAATCAAAAGTAAATAATGATCGATAAAGCATCAATAAACACTAAATTTACAAAATATTTTTTTTTTAATTTCCAATAAAGATAAGGTATATATGCTTTGTAATATATATATATATATATTACAAAGCATATATAAATGTAGAGCTTGAGAAAAAAACTAATGGTGTAAATTGGAAAAAATACAATTATAGTATTTCTCTATTTATAAAAAATATTAAACTTAATGGTGTAAACTTGGAAATAAACTGGATTAATTAGAAATATAATGTTTTTCTAAATAAAAAAAATGACATTAAAGAAAATTAAATAAAAGTACTTCAGTTCCCACAAAATTTCTGAATCAACACTAGTTGTCGCATATCTACGTCTCCACATTCAAATGTAAATTATCTCATCTTTTTCTTCATTGAATATTTAGATTTGATGAATTTCTATATAATAAAACCTTAATAAGTTGGCCAAATTACTAATAATTAACTAAAAAATGTTCATTTTGAATGTAAATATAAATACATGACTGTTGTATAGAATCAAAAAACAATATCAAAATCTAATTTTCACTACGCACCCACGAATAATTAACCATAAAAACATAAAAATAAATAGAGAATGAACATTATCATTGGAGTTTGGAAAGTAGAAAATTAGCAATGCTTTCAATTCTCTCAAACTTCAGGGGCCGATGATGCAATTTGCACTGTTTAACAAAGAAGTCTAAGCAGACGATGCCTCTGCCACGTTGACATTACCTTCTTATCAACGTGTCAGGACTAGGTAGCAGCTAGCTAAGGTTCTGAAACCTTTGACTGAAGTCTCAAAAAACACAGGACAAAGAAAAAGGAAAAAAAAATTCCCTGCCTTTCCTCTATCCTTGCATAACTTCAGAAACAGAGGCAAGTAGGCGACAATGGCTGATCGATGCTTTCCCAACGTATTACCAGACTTTGTAACAGAAGAACAAGAAGAAGAAGATAAAGTAACCAATGGGGATTCTCTCATGAAGCTTCTCTCCATGCCTTACACTTCAATTTCCAAGCAGTTTCAACGCTCTGGTTTGGATCTTAAAGAAACAGTAACAAGAACTTCTATTTATTTGGTTTTCACTTCTTGGGTTGGTTTTGTTTGGTTGGTAATGTTAACACTGTGTGGTTTGTGGGAAATTTGTGTTATACAGATTGTGATGGAGACATGGGGGTTAAGTGGGCAAATTGCGCAAGATTTTACTCTTTATAGTGGAATTCTTGGCACTGCGTTGTTGCTTTTTAAGAGTTATCAAGTTACTAGTAATAAAAGCGATCTCTTTCTTTGTTTCGAGATTGTTAAGGCCTGTGATTCTGCTTCTCTGGCTTCAAGGTAGAGTCTCCCTTTCTTGGTGAAGATGTCATTTTGTTTCAATGTTAGTTTGTTTTTGTGATTCAATTTATGGCATGAACCAATTGGATATGATTTTGGGTTTTGATTAGTGTATATGCTCGCATTTCCAGAAAAAAAAATTATTCAAGTAATTTAATTATGCACTATTTAAATGCTATTTCCCTTGACCTTTCGTGGGTCCAAGCTCTACAACAAATTGGATTAACAATGAACTTTGTCTAGCACAAAGTTTGGGATGGACAAGATGTTTTGACAGGGCTAGTGTCCATGCTTTGTTTTTTAGATACATAGGGAGATTGACTTGGTAGGCTTTATATCATTTTCTTTAATAACCAGACTTGCTAAAAAGAAGATCCAATACTATTTTCATGAGCTTTACTAGCAAGTTCAAGTAATTTAGTCGTAAATAGCCCATTTTCATTTTGAGCTCATTTTCTGTTGTATAACTTAAATCTTACGGTCCAAACATGGATGTGTTTGATAATCCAGGGATGTGACATTTATATGTGGACGAGCCGGTGTTTGTGCACTTGGGGCTGTAGCAGCAACGCATCTTAATGATAAAGCATTACTGAATCACTATCTAAGTCAATTCAGAGAGGTGACCTTTTTGCCTTACTTTATGTTATTTTTTAGTCAACGTTGTTGTTGTTGTTGTTGTTGGTGAGTATTTATGCTTGTTTATGAAACAGATTAAGCCGTCGAGAACTCATCCTGATGAGTTGTTATATGGACGAAGTGGATTTTTGTGGGCTTGTTTGTTCTTAAATACACACATGGGGCAGGGTACTGTCCCTAATACAACCATTGTGAGATTTCCACTATGACCTAATATGCTAATTTGATTTTGATGTATTTAAACAGGATAGTAATAATGTTATTGTAAAATTATTGTAGCGTGCTGTTGCGAGTGAAATTATCAAGAATGGAAGAGCATTCGCGAAGAAAGGAGGGTCCCCATTAATGTATGAATGGTATGGTGAGAGGTATTGGGGTGCTGCTCATGGATTGGCAGGTATTATGCATGTTTTGTTGGATGTGGAGCTGAAACCTGATGAGTTTGAGGATGTCAAGGGCACCCTTAAATACATGATCAATAACCGCTTTCCTAGTGGCAACTATCCCACAACTGAAGAAGATCGCAAGAGGGATGTTCTTGTGCATTGGTGTCATGGAGCATCTGGAATTGCTCTTACACTTGTCAAAGCAGTTAAGGTAAATTTCTCTGGTTATCTATTTCATTATAAGCTAATTTAAGCTCCATTGGTGGAAGAACTTGATATTTATGATACATTAAGATATTGACTTTTCTGCTTTAGATGAGAGCAATTGCACTTGAAATTTGCAAATTCTAGGCAATGGCATTTATTGCATGTGTTTTTCTTGATCTCTCTGAGACTATCTGATGAGTCTGAATACTTGAACAAAATGGTAATCTGCTTTGGATCTTTAATTTTGGTTTGAATAATCTGGGTAGGATTTCCACGGGACTGTAGCCTTAATTTTTGGTAAGAATGCTCTGATAGTTGTATTGTGCAGGAGCGGTATTCTTAGGTTTGCTTAAAACCACAACTTCTGTAGTAGCATAATTTATTCTTTCTTTGTACAGAATCATAAGTAGGAGCCCTTTGTAACTGCTTTGCTCCAGCTTTTTGCAAAACTAAAATGTGCAATGCTCAGATTTTTGGAGATAAAGAGTTTCTGGAAGCAGCTATAAGTGCCGCAGAGGTAGTTTGGCACCGTGGGCTGCTCAAGCGAGTTGGGATTTGCCATGGCATCAGTGGGAATGCGTATGTGTTTCTCTCACTGTACCAGATAACAGGCAACATAGAGTTCTTATACAAGGCCAAAGCGTTTGCTTGCTTTCTGCTGGATAGAGCTCACAAACTTATATCAGCTGGAGAGATGCACGGAGGTGATAGCTCCTACTCTATGTTTGAAGGAATGGGAGGTATGGCTTATCTTTTTCTAGATATGACCGATCCATCCAACGCTAGATTCCCTGCTTATGAACTCTGAACAGTCTGAGAACTCTTTGTATGAATATTAGGCCACAGTTAGTTTGAGTTGAATACTAGTGTAGCTATATACTAATTTTGAGTTGTATATGAAAATGCAATAATGTAATTTCTTTCTGGGGTTATATAATGTAACCTTCGGCCTCGAAAATCATGCGTTACTTTATAGTAGACTATGGTAATGCTGGGTTTTGATCTTCCATCAGGCTAAGAACCACTTTTGCTTTCCATGATGGATTTGCCGAGTTGTAACAATGGAAAGGGAATTTCTTACTTTCCAAGCAAATGGCAATTAGGTCTCACCCTCTTAATTAATTAAGATACAACAAAAGGGCCATTTTATTTGCTCGAATGCATAAATAATGCAGTTAAGAAATATCTGAAACTTTGATGTTATGGTGATTGAATTTAATGTCATCTTCATATTTTTAAAAATTCATAGTTCGACCGAGAAAAATTGGTATTTTTCTTTCAAGTTTTTTGTCCAGTATTGTGTTTTATAATTCTAAAGTATTTTTGAACAATTTAATGGAACAATTAGTTGTAATATAGAAATTTTTTCATAACTTTATTTGTTAGTGACTTAGATTAGTACGAAGAATCAATTTCTTAATGGACAGTTGACAAATGTCGAAAGTTTTGATGCTATTTTGTGAATCGTGGATCTGTATTTGGCTCGTATTTCCCTGAACTAAGCCAGTTTCTTGTATTGGATTCTTGGCACTATCTTGAGTTTTTGGAACCTATTAAAATGATATAGGCAATTAGCTGGTAAGAAAATAAACAAGAAAGAAAGAACAAGAAGTGATCTTTTTATTTTTTAATTTTTAAGTTAAAGCATGATCAAGAAGGGATCATGTAAAAAATCTGAAAGAGAATGCATTGTTGTCATGACAGTAATTCTGGCACATCATCAACTAAAAATTAGTATCTGTATCATTAGCGCTGTAATAATTCAGTGATAACAAAATCGTACAAGTTTTGTATAATTATTTTTAGAAATGTTTTAGATATATTGTTGAAAAAAAAGAGATTAATAATAACTAAAATATTAAAAATAAGAATTAAATAGCTGTAGAAGAACTTAATGAAAAATAAATGATAGAGAAATCATAATGTTTAATGGCTTTGCAATATATGAATATGCATAAATGATTATTACTTAAAAAAAAAAAAAAAAGAAAGAAAAGGAAAATCTGTTAAATCGAACACGACATTGTTGTCAATCAACAAGGAAGGCTATGGTGGAACCAGGTTGATCGCAGTCCATCATTGCATTCTTGGAGACTTCAATTTACATTGCTGTCTTCAAGTGACAATGCTGTCACCAAAGCCTTTGTCAAGGAGATGGCAAATATCTGCAGATCAGTGGCAGCAGTAGCACCATTTGGGGCATGCTTTATCTCAAACAAAATAGGTAGTAGCACCTTGTTACGCTCCGTCTAAAAAAGATTTTTCTAGAGATTCTAGAGAACTCTAGATAAGTCCGAAAGGTTCTAAAAGAGTATGGAATAATGGAGAAGCCTTTAGATAAGTCCGGAAGCTTCTGAAGAGTATGGAACAATGGAGAAGTCTCTAGATAAGTTTGGAAGCTTCAGAAAAGTATGGAGCATTGGAGAAGTCTCTAGGATGATCTAGAGAATTCTAGAGAGTCCCTCACTAATCTAACATGTGTATATCTAGATAGTTCATTGTAAATATCTAGATAGGATATTTCTAGAGAACTAGTTGTAGCCATTAGATTAAATAGATCTTAGCCATCCATTGAGGAGGTGGAAGGCTATAAATAGGTGAGGCCTTCACTTGGCCAAGACACCTAGACATTCACAAACTTAAGAGAGTGTGTCTTTAGAGTTGTAAGCTTTTAGAAAGCAATACAAAGAGTATTTATATCTCTTGTGTGTGTATTTCTTGCTTAACAACTTTGTGTGAGGAAGGCTGACTTGGTTTGTCTTAGAGAAGAAGAGAGCCAAGTGCCGCACGTGAGCTTGGGAAAAGGCTAAGTCCATGACAAGTGGTATCAAAGCCGAGTTTTATCAAAGTGTGAGTAAGCTTGCCGCTAACTAAAGTGTTCAATAGAGTAAACATGTCTAGCTTGGGCATGAAGGATGTTCGTCGGGGATGCTAGGAATGAGACTCTACCTCCTCAACCTAAGAAAGGAAGGGAGAAGTCTCGTGATGTATTAATCTCTTTGGAGGAGCGACTCATAAAGGAGGAGGAACACCTTGCCGATTTCAAGGAGAGACTCGAGGAGATAGAAGGAGATGATGAGAGGGAGACATTAGGCATGGTAGGCCTACGTGAGGTGCTCTCAATCTCTAAGCTCGAGTGGAAACAGTTGAGAGGTGTGCCAAAGAGAGCGCCGTCGAAAAGGATGCCTTCATGGGATGGACGAAGGAGAGCTTCAAGCAACATCAAGAGTATATGACCAGGTATGAGCAAACTCTTGAACAACTTAGAAAAGATCGGGCAAATTATCGAAAAGCTATCTCGAATGATGTGGTCTTAAGGGACACGCCAAAAGTTGAAGTGCCAAGACCAATGCACTATACTCGGTAAGCGAGATGCTAAGGAAGTGGACAACTTCTTTTGGCAAGTAGAGCAATATTTTGAGACAATGGGCTTGACCGATGATAGAAGTCGTGTCAAGACTGCTACTCTCTATCTTTCGAAGTATGCCGCTTTATGGTGGCGTATGAAGCACCAAGAGCTCAAAGAGGGAAATCTAGAGTTGCTTAGTTGGGATGAATTCAAAGAAGTTATGTATGCTCAATTCTATCCCAAGGAAGCTGATTGGGAAGCATGAGACAAGCTACGAACATTGAAGCATACGGGAACTATTCATGATTATGTCCGAGAATATCCGTCTCTTAAACTTCGAGTTCGTGGCAAACCCGACTATGATCATATGTATGATTTTATTAAGGGACTTCGATCATGGGCACAATAAGAAGTGCGAGGTCGACGACTTAAGACTTTTGCCGAAGCCGTGGCCATAACCGAATCCCTAATTGAATATAACAAAAGGCGTAACCCTCCAAGCCTAAGAAAGACTTTAAGTGGCAAATGTGGGGGAGCCTATGAAAAGAAGGGGTATAAAGATGGACAAGACAAAGCACACAAGTCCAAAAGCTTTATCAAAGAACATGATAAGAGAGAATTCAAGCCCAATGGTTGCTACTTTTGCAATGGGCCACATCGATAGAGAGAGTGCCCGAAGCGATAAGCCCTCAATGCCTTGATGGAGGAAAATGAGTGTGCTCTCGATCATGAGAAGCATTTAGGATCGGTTCGGCTTCTCAATGCTCGTAATGTTAAGCCCTCACCTAAGGTGCCACCAAAGGATGGGCTTATGTACGTGGATGTGGACGTGAATGGCAAGGCCGCGCTTGCCATGCTAGACATGGGAGCCACACATAATTTCATGACCGAGGATGAGGCCAAAAGACTTGGCTTGGTGGTGACCAAGTCATCAAGTAGCATGAAGGTGGTGAATGCTTCCCCTAAGCCTACTTATGGCGTAGTGTATGGGGTAAGGCTTGGCATAGGATTATGGAAAGGGACTTTAGATTTCACCATTATCACAATAGACAACTTTAAGGTTGTGCTAGGCATGAAGTTCTTTAAACAAGCGAAAGCCGTGCCTATACCTCACTTGGAGCAAATGGTGATCATGAAAGAAGAAATGCCATGCATGGTTCCATCTAAGATGCACGCTAGATCGGACTTGAAGCATCTCTCGATTATGCAAGTAAAGAAGGGCTTCAAAAAACGTGAAGACACATACATGGCAATATTGAGAGAAGACAAGATAGTGGATGATGAGGGTACAAAAGTACATGAAGAGACCGCCAATGTGCTAGCTGAACTTGATGATGTGCTCGCCACTAGAATTGCCTAAGAAACTGCCACCCAAAAGAGAAAGCGATCACCAAGTTGAGTTGGTGTCCGGTGTTAAGTCGTCAACCGGGGCACTTTATCGGATGAGCCCTCCCGAGTTAGAGGAATTGAGGAAGCAACGAAACACCAATGTGGTGGCCGATGCACTTAGTAGAAAGGCCGAGTTGCATCATATATCAAAGGTGGATGGGGAGATCGTGGCCGGAATCAAGGAAGGAGTAGAACATGATCCCATCGTCAAGAGTTTGTCGAGCCTTGCAAAGGAGGGCAAGACTCGAAAATTCCGAGAGGAGAATGGCATTCTCTATACAAAGGGGAGGAGGATTTATGTACCTAAGTGGGGAAACTTCCGACGAGATTTGATGAAGGAATGTCATGACTCGATGTGGGTCGGACATCCGGGACAACAACCCACTAGAGCTTTCTTGGAGGGAGCATACTTTTGGCCACGGTTGCGTGATGATGTGGAGTCCTATGTGAAAATCGAACGCCCGGAGGTCTATTGCAACCTTTGCCTATCGCGGAGAGACCATGAGAGACAATTACCATGGACTACATAGTGGCTTTGTCGAAAATCGAAGAACTTTGGGAGCATTATCGTAGTCGTGGATAAGTTTTCCAAGTATGCCACTTTCATACCAGCCCCAGCGGATCCGACGTACCGAGAACATCGCTAAACTACTCTTCAAGCATGTGATGAAGTATTGGGGTGTGCCGTGACATATCATCGGTGATCGAGATCCTCGATTCACTCAGGAAGCTATGGACGGAGTTATTTGAGTTGCTAGGCTCGAAGCTCCATTACTCCATAAGTTTTCACCCTCGGACGGATGGGTAAACCGAGAGGGTTAATACCTTGCTGGAGACATACTTGAGGTACTTTGTGAGTGCCAACCAGCGAGATTGGGCTAAGTTGCTAGATGTTGCCTAACTCTTCTACAACTTACAAAAGAGTGAGTCTACCGGCAAGAGTCCATTTGAGATTGTGACGGGCCAACGACCTTTCACTCCACATACGATGACGCTTGGTGATAAGTACCAAGGAAGTAGCCCAAGTGCATATTTATTAGCCAAAGAATGGTAGGAGCGAGGCATACTTG